AGTACGAAGAAGATGGAAAATAAGAAAGGGTGGGAGGGTTTTCCATTATGGAATTCCACTCTACCACAGTGCACAAGTTTTCTTCTTATATCAGTGGGAGGGTTTTGAATGGAATTCAGCTAGGCTTCGGCTAAGTGTAAAAGACGCGTTCTGATTCCGTTCGAAAGGCTCGATGGAATACCACAGACAACTTTGAAGGCACTTCTTCTTCTATCCACTTGGTGACTGCTATCAGTCAAATAAGCCAAAATAGAACTTCTTCGTATGGATTTTATTTGATGTTTTTCCGAACCATGAGTGTGAAGGGAGATGCTCATTAATGCGTTTGTTAAGCTGTCTAGTTGTTCGCCCTATATAACCAGCTCTCTCCACAGGAGCAACTAAATTTATAGATACACATAGAAGTGGCACAGCTAGGTAGGTAGCTTGTCTTTCACTTGAACAATCATAATTGGTCGGCAGCTGGAAAGTGACAAACAAGGGATGGTTGGCGGCAGTATAAGTCTGTTTTATCGCTCTCGATAATCTCAGATGTAAGACTTCGCTAGCCAAGTATCCATTAAATTGCAATTTCACGAACAGTTGTTTCTTTTCTCATCTGTCGTCAGTTTTTCTTTATTATTAATGAGCATCTCCCTTCACACTCATGGTTCGGAAAAACATCAAATAAAATCCATACGAAGAAGTTCTATTTTGGCTTATTCGACTGATAGCAGTCACCAAGTGGATAGAAGAAGAAGAAGAAGTGCCTTCAAAGTTGTCTGTGGCATTCCATCGAGCCTTTCGAACGGAATTAGTTTGAGAGAACATTCCTAGTCTTTGCATACAAAAGAAGTAGTTTGTTCTACCTTTGTCTCTCTCTCTCCCTTGGTACAGGTAAATTCTAGTTAAAACCCTCCCACCCTTTCTTATTTTCCATCTCTTCCGTACTATTATGATATTTATTTTTACTCTGATTATCTGTCCACTTCACCTGTAGTATTACGTAACTTTTAAGATTTGATCTAATCTATTTATTTATTGAATTGTTTACATATACACACATATACGTATACTTCCTTTGTTATTCTTATCGCTACCTACATAAACCTTATTATCAATATTTTGTTATCATTACAATCATCGTTATTAATTACGTTCAAAAGATTTACCACATTATTATTATTGATTAATAGGGGATCACATAATTGATATAATTACTCATAAGTGGCTTTAGAAGTGAGAATTAAAAGTTGTGAATTACATGGTACTCAATGGAACAAAGATAGAAGTTTGATAAGGTTAAAAATGCTCTTCAGTGAGAAGAAAGGTGGTAATTGAGTGTCAATTTAACAAGTGTGAAGAGGGTGTGAAAATATACAAAAGGAGCATATGACTGTGATAATAGTGAATTAATTATTAAAGCAAAATCAAACTAAAAGTAAAATTAAAAACAAAAGAAAAACTCAAAATTTTTTACAAGGAACGATTAGTGAAGAGGTAGAATAAGAGAATGGACAAACTTTCCATAGCTGGGTCCCTTTAAGAAGAAAGAGAAATCTGAACCATTCCTTATCTTCAAGAATAAGGAGAATATATTCAAGTGATACAATCGGTGGGGAATTGGGGCGACTCAGAAAAGTTCTCACAGAGAATGGATATCCTCCATGATTTATCGAGAAAAACATGAAATTAAGAGAAAAACCCGAAAGAATCCAGACGGTGCCGAAGAAACTGCTATTTATGAGTGTTGAATTTAAAGGTGATACCGCAGCTGAGATCCTCAAGAATCGCTTATGCAGATCACTGAGGAAAGCCTTCTGAGCTACGTATCAATTTCTACAGCCGACAAATGATCAACGGATGTGTGAAGGATAAACTGCCGCTTTGGGTCACCTCAATGTGTGTTTATAAATTCACCTGCTTCTCGTGTGGAGCTAGTTATATATTGACCGCACAAAACTGGCCCACACTTTCCAAACGCATCTCTGAACATTATCCGGTATGGTTAGTTAGCAAAAGGACAATGCAAGACAATTACTAGCTCAATTCTCGAGCACTTGGCGTGAACTCAAGCCATGTAGCTCCACGAGAGTCGTCGTCTTTCAAGATCATCTACAAAGTGAAGCCAAATGGGGTACAAAGGGCGTCAGGTTCCAGCTTTTGTGTATGACGGAGGCGCTGGCAATTCATCAATACAACCCTGAACTCTGTATACAGAAAAAGTTTGTCCAGTTTCTTATTCTACCTCTTCACTAATCGTTCCTTGTAAAAAATTTTGATTTTTTCTTTTGTTTTTAATTTTACTTTTAGTTTGCTTTATGCTTTAATAATTAATTCACTATTATCACAGTCATATGCTCCTTTTGTATATTTTCACACCCTCTTCACACTTGTTAAATTGACACTCAAATATATGAAATTAATAGAGAGTTAAGAGGTGAGAAAATAGACGGCTTAGGTCAAGTTAAAAGGAAATATTCAAGGTCAAAATAACGATGAAGATCAGTCATTAAACCTAATAACAGAGGTAATAGTGTAACAACAGAAGACAAGGGCCAGGCAACAGATCGTTTTATTATGAAAATCAACACGTATTTATACATATTTCAGACAACATTATTATAGACAAGCGCAGTCATCTGATTGGTTGTTTAGGTAGACAAACGCAGGCTTCTGATTGGTTGTTTCGGGATTCCTTGACAAATAGAGTTCTCTATCTGCGAATCATATTTTGCCACGTTAACTTTGCTGTGATTGGTTGTTGACTCAGCCTTGTTCATATCTTCTCACGGCCCACATTAGTGACCTAGACCTTAACGTAGATTAGTGCCAACCAATCGGCTAGCAGCCTGCTCTCACCACACTCGTCCCCCCGTCAAATACGTGCGACTGAAGTCGGCTTGATCTACTTGGTGCAGGCGTCATCGTTGGCTTGTCTCGCTGTATCCATTTCTGGAGCTCGCTGACGTTCACGCGCCTCTCATTGTTCGTCATTGCGATTGTGTCCGCGTAATCCCATCTCGAAGTGACCATATGTGGTCCTTCCCACTTTGGAAACTGTTTGCCTGACCCTGTCGAACATTCGTCCATACTTCGGCCCACACCTTCATATGCTGCTTTCGCCCGACCTCCCAGCAGCGTCTCAAGTAGCAGCTCCATCGCTGACAGATCTTGAACGCCACTCAACTGCGCAGAAGCCTTGAAGTCCTGCCCGAAGATCCATATGTCTCCATCAAAAACTGCAGGGTATAGGCTTTTCATTTGTCGGTAGGCAGCGACACCAAATGTAACAACAGAAGACAAGGGCCAGGCAACAGATCGTTTTATTATGAAAATCAACACGTATTTATACATATTTCAGACAACATTATTATAGACAAGCGCAGTCATCTGATTGGTTGTTTAGGTAGACAAACGCAGGCTTCTGATTGGTTGTTTCGGGATTCCTTGACAAATAGAGTTCTCTATCTGCGAATCATATTTTGCCACGTTAACTTTGCTGTGATTGGTTGTTGACTCAGCCTTGTTCATATCTTCTCACGGCCCACATTAGTGACCTAGACCTTAACGTAGATTAGTGCCAACCAATCGGCTAGCAGCCTGCTCTCACCACAATAGTACATCCACCCTGGCTAGGTGGCACAGCTAGGTAGCTTATCTTTCACTTGAGCAATCATAATTGGTCGGTAGCTGGAAAATGACAAACAAAGGATGGTGGCGGGAGTATAGGTTCGTTTTATCGCTCTGGATAATGGGAGATGTAAAACTTCGCTAGCCACATCCTCATTAAATTGTAGTTTCATGAACAGTTGTTTCTTTTTAACTGGTGTCACCAAGTGGACAGAAGTAGTGCCTTCAGTTATCTACGTCGAATTTCTATCAAGTCTTTCGAACGGAATTCGAAACCGCCTTTTACACTTAGCCGAAGCTCTGCAAATTAATTCGAGAGAAGAATCCTAGTCTTTGCGAACGACAAAAGAAGTTTGTTCTACCTTTGTCTCTCCCTTACCTGCCCTAGGTGAATTCTATTCAACACCCTCCGACCCGCCCTTCCCTATTTTCCATCTCCTTCGTACTTTTATGATGTTTATTTAAACTCTGATTATCTGCCCACTTCACCTACAGTTAGTATTACGTAACTTTTAGGATTTGACCTAATTTATTTATTTATTGAATTGTATACATATACACATACATACGTATACTACCTTCGCTATTCTTATCGCCACCTGCATAAACCTTATTATCAATATTTTGTTACCATTGTAATCATCGTTATTAACTATATTCAAAACATTTAACACATTATTATCATTATTTGATCCACGAAATCACCGTCATTGGTTAAATTCTGTTTTATATGTAAATCTATGTAAATTAGAGTAAAGCCTGAAGAAGATCTAATTGAAAACAGCAATACTGTTCGCTTATATGTGTGTCTTGTTCTGATTATTTCATCCTTCAAAAATGACAATAATCTCAGACAATGTTGTACGCATATAATTTATTGAATACAAAGACAATCAATCAACGAATTATAAAAGAGGGGCGGTGAGAGAGATAGAGAGCCGGGGGGGTGGCTGGCACATGAAAATAAACAATCAACAATAATGAAAAGAATCACTTTCACACCGGTGATCTTGTTTTTACAAAGTCACTGGGATACACTTTTTCAAAATAATAAAAATAATAATGATAGTAATAGTGACGAGTGTTGTGGAAGGGATAAAACTTCCTCTCAAAACAAAAATAAAGATGGAACGCATCAACAAGAGTAACCAGGAATGACAGAGAGGGATAGACACAGATGATGAATAGATGGGCAAAACATAAAAACGAAAAACAATGTAAGACTCCTAGACGACTTTGTGCACACTGGCTGTATGTATGTGTATATGTATAAAACCTGATCGATCACGAAAAACAGCGACGGACGGACGGGGGAGGTGGTCGAGGTGGGCTGGTGGAATAATAATAGTTTACCCACCAGTAAGTATACCGTTGAATAGATATTTTCATCACTTAGTGACCTGATGCATAGCATGCGCTAAATATTCAACATTTTTCGATGACAATCCAGCAATACTGATACGTCCATCTTTAGTTAGATAAATTGAATACTCGTTAGTCAGCTTGTCAACCTATCGACAGAGAGAGAGAGGGGGGGAAGCAGAGCAGAAAGAAAAAAGAGTAGGTACTACAAGAATATAACAACAAGGTAAGCATAAAAGCAGCGAACAATGAACACTTCGATATATATATATATATATATATATATCTATATCTTATGAAATAATGGTTAAACTTGCAGTTTCAATGGCTAGTTCAGAGCAAGAAAGATATGTACGGATGACGTCTTACAAAAGGAATTTGAATATATATTCACGATGCCTTGACGGAGATGGGCTATTCGAGTAGTTTCATAAAGAAACATAAAAAACATCAGAGAATAAAAACCTGAGACTCTGACTGCTGCATGTAAAAAACCTCTGTTTATTAAGTTATAATTTAATGGTGACTTATCAAGTGAGATTTTATTCCAGAAACTTTCCAGTAGTACACAGAGAACTCTGTTTACGCAGCACACCTATACTTGTCATTCTCTAGCTGACGAATGATAAGCTAGGTAGTTTTGCCACATCTATGTGCATTTATCAATTCAATTGCATCTGCAGTGACAGTTGTGTTGGGCGTACTACTAGACTACCTTAGCCAGCCAACGTGTTAGTGAACATCTCCCATCGTGGTGGTTTGGCAAAGGACAGACAAAAACAATCCCTAGCTCAATTCTGTCACATCGAATTGATAGTGGTCATGTAGTCGATAAAACGAAAGCCTTCAAAGTAATTCATCGTATCCCACTGAATCTTTCCAGTGGACTTCGTATTCGTCTACTGCACACAGCTGAGATGATATGCATTCAAACTATTAAACCTAAACTATGCAATCATAATAAGTTCGTACAGCCATTATCCCTCTCTCGTTGGCCTATTAAGACATAACCAACTGATGACTTCTACACCACCCCTTATTTATATTTTCAACCGCTCTCTTATCATCCCTTAATCTTATTATCACATCTTCATTAAAAACGTGTTTCATTTACTTCCCATACAATCAGTCTAGCATTACTTAATCGGTTCATTTGTTTTTACTAGCCTTTATCGACTACTTCCACCTGAGCAATTGTTTGTTTAATCATACTGTTTTCTTCATTATTCGTGTTATCACAGATTGCCTCACTTTTTCATCCTTATTATTGATAAAACTATTATTATTATTATCACTGCTACTATTATGACTAATTGCACAATTTATATTCACCATCGTATTATCCTATAGACAAAGTACCATGATTGGTTTATAATTGAATTTTTATTTGTAAGCTTATATAGGTATATTAGAGTTAAGCCTGATGAGATCTAGTTGAAAACAACAATATTGTTCGCTTAAATGTGTTGTTCTAAATTTTACTATGGGAATATTGAATATAATGTTATATATGTCCAAACAACGTTCACTTTTAACAGATTCGAAGATAACATCTTTTCAAGCATACTCACCCCCTATAGAATATGGTTAAGATATGAGTAGATGATACTTTTTGTAGTGCTAAAATGAGATCTACACAATTCATTCACGGAGAAATCAAACAATCTATCTCCCAGAATCTAGTTTACTTCAGAAACAGGCAGAATCAGACGTCGGTAAACTAGTATTTCTACACAACCTGGCTGCTAGGTAAGAGGAGGGAAAATGGACATTTTAGTGTATCTATGCTAAGGGTCATCACACCCCATTAGCGCAAATGTATCAGTTGTTTCAAGTCTTGTTAGACGAGCACACTCTTTGATATTAACAGGTAAGAAGGAAAAAGGAGAAGAAATATCAAAAAAATACTGAGACTCTCAAGCAAAACAGCTACCCAAAGAACTTTATCAACAACATATATATATATATATATATATATATATATATATATATATATATATATATATATATATATCTGTGCATGTAGAGTATTCGGCTGGTGAGTTCAACTGAAATTTGATGAATTCATCATTAAATCCTGCTTTATTAACCACATATATTGTTCGTTTTAAATGAAAGCTTATTGACAATCATTTAGCCAGTTAGGGAGGACAGCAGAGGACAGAAGGAAATGGCGACCTTCCTCTGAAGCAGCGTGTTTCATTCTAAATCCATAGGGGAATAATAAATAAATAGACAACCGCCGTTTAATTAGTGGATGGTGACTAACAGTGGAATCCATCCAGGATAACGCACATCTCGTCCTACTTGGGACTCGTCAGCTACCTAGATGTACCTGCATTCCCCAGGGAGTGATGATGACGTTCCCAAAGAGGCTCGAACCCAGTGCCCATAGTTTCAAACACCAGGCAATGCGTTATCCCACTATAGACCACTTGGGCAACGAGAGCTGGCCACCTCTTGTGCAACGGGTCATCTAGATTTCACTGCTAGGTTTTTATGCTCGGTTAGTCAGACTGCCCCTGTTCTACTAGTTTGACCTATGTATATGACCTGACAATCATTCCAGCAGGGTGTTAGATAAACTTAAATGTTTTGTTTTATTTGCCTCCACAAGACCAATCCTTTAACTGTCAAAGAGCTTGTTTCTAATTGAGTTTGTGGATTTAGTCTATCAAATGGACAGATACACAGAGAGGAGTAGTACTCAATGAGACTGACACAACAAATAAACGAACAAACAAACACACACACAAATCAATAAAACCCACCTGTTCGGGATTTAAACCAGAATAACAAAACATTCCAATTTGATTAGTAATATGCGACCAATCACGATTTGATCCTAATTTGCTTAGATTATCTTTTAAACTTTTCCGCATAGTTATAATACGATCAGCCATTGTTTTGACATCTGCAAGCCTATAGGAAACATAAAAAGATTTAATCGTGTGACGTATAATATTCTCATAGATTTATGTGAAGTAAAGAGTCAATCTAAACGAAAAAGAATATTCTTTTCAGTAAATTGTTCTACTTCAGGTTCTGTGCGTCGGTGGCACAGCGGTTAGGACTCTCGCCGACCATGCACATGGTCCGAGGTTCGATCCCCTGCCGACGCACACCTGATATCTATGGTCGGCCTGAAAAATTTGGGCTACCGATATCCATGCTGAAAATTTCATACTAGTCCCGAAAATACAGTGTGGAATCAAGCTGTAAATCAAAAATCAAAATCAAAAATAGAATACTTGTTACCGTTACAATCTGATAACCAGTTATGCGGTGAATAAATTGTTTTTTTTATTAAAGAATAACAGATTAGTATTTATAGAAGAAAGGTTGGTTGTAACGATAGAGTAGACGGTAGACTTGTTATCTTGTTATATACGCGAAATGATGTACACCTTATCTTCAATGCACCATTTGCACAGATATTACGTGTGTTGTGTTACTTTTGATCTGCCTTCATATTTTGTCTTTCTTTGTATTCCTTTCACATTGTCTCCTATGTATGATTTGCTTTCTCTCACGTTAAATCTATCTTCTTGCATTCAAGTCTACAAACTCACTCAGCGAGCACAAGCTCTGTAGGCTAAAATACCCGGTGGACACAATTAAACAAAATAATATAATAATTTACAAAACACCTTCCAATGACTGTGAGTGAGTTCAAGTACATAGGTCAAACTAGTAGGTCAGGAGTAGTGAGATTGCCTGTCAGAACATAAGAATTTACCTAAGGTTAGAATGGTTGACCCCACCCGAGAAGATAAGTAATTTAGAAAAAAAAACTCAGCACTACATTGCACTGCATGCATTAACACACAACCAAACAATAGGGCCGGTGGGGCAAAGTCAAAATTGTAAAGAGTGATATAGGTAGGTAGGTGGAGAGAGAGAGAGCCAGACTGATTTTTGAATCCTGGTTCATCGAGTGAATCTACACACCCAACACATGCAACAAAAGTGACTCAATGGAAATACTAGAGATATGTATGAAAGATATTATTAACACCAATCAGTCAGTCAAATCAGAGGAGATAATAAATGATCTAGAAATTCTATTTCAATTCACGTACATTATAACATTCTAACAAGTTACTTATTTTAACTATAAAAACACTCGTCTTATTTCCCATTTGATTGTATTTTATTGATAATACTAATAATATTATTTGCGAATGTACATTTTATTCAAAAAAAATCTCCGTTTAGACATTTAGAAGGCGAAAGGATTGAGTGAAGAAATATTTACTTTTCAATTAGATTCTCATCTCTCTCTGGCTCTACTCTAATATATTCTGTATAGCATTTTTATTATTACAATACACAACAATTTACCAATCACTAAGTGGCACGGATATGTTTGTTAACAATAATTAGTCAGTCAGTGTCAACATGTCAATGCAACGGGTAATAATTATCGAAGGAAATTCATATACATAATTAAAGGGTAGAAATGTTTACAACAAGTGGGTTGTATAATGCGTAATTTCAGAAAAATGAAGAGTAAATAGGGAATAAGCGTGTGCACAGGTTGACTACCTAACAGATTGTTAGAGAAAAACAAACGATTTGAATAATGATAACTTGTAACTATGGGGGTAAAGTAATCAGAAAAAATAAAATAAATTGGACAGTTATAATGTTTAAAGGTTTACGGGGAGGGGAGGCGAAGTAGTCTGGTTTATATATCCATATAGCGATGGCCAAGGTAAGGAAAGTGGCTGTACAAATTCCTTCTCGACACGCAGATGTAGCTTCTGCAGCAACATAAAGCGTACAATTAGGGCAGGTTCATCATCGCAACAACAGAAGATAAGGGCCGGCAACAGAGCGTTTTATTACGGAAATCAACACGTATTTATATACATTTCACATACATTATTATAGCTTATTCAAGTAGACAAACGCAGGCTTCTGATTGGTTGTTTTCGAGTTTCTCGGAAAGTGGAGCCATCTATACGGGAATCATATTTGCCCACGTTTAAGTCTGCTGTGATTGGTTGTTGAATCAGCCTTGCTCATATTTTCTCACGGCCAATATTAGTGACCTAGACATTGACGTAGATTAAAGTCTACCAATTGGCTAGCAGCCTGCTCTCACCACAATCGTATTTCCGAACATCATTCAACACGGTTAAGCAAGAGACAAACAAGATCTATTCGTAGCTCTATTCTAGCACACCTTGTAGATAGTGAGCATAAGGTTGACGTTAATGCTTCATTTAAAATTACTTATCGGATTCGTCGGTGGCGCAGCAGTTATGACTCTCGCCGATCATGCACATGATCTGGGGTTCGATCCCCGGCCGACGCACACCTGATATCTATAGTCGGCCTGAAAGATTTCGGCTACCGATATGCATGCTGAAAATTCCATACTTGTACCAAAAATACAGTGTGGAATCAAGCTATAATCAAAATATTTATTATTTATTATTGCTCCCTTGGGTTCCTAGTGGAACATAGGGCTTCAACTGCACGTCTCCATTCTCTTCTGTCTTCTGCTGTACTTTTCGCCTGCATCCATGTTAGTCCATATTCTTTCAACTCCTCTTCACACGATCTCCTCCATGTCACCCTTGGACGTCCCACACGCCGCTTCCCTTTCGGGTTCCACTCGAGGGCTTGGCGCGCGATGTCACCCAGCGGTCTCCTCAGCGAGTGTCCGATCCATCTCCACTTTCTCCTGCATATTTGTTGGGCGATTGGTTCTTGCTTTGTTTGTTCCCATAATTCCTTGTTGGTGATTCTTTCCGGCCATCTGATCTTCAGTATTGAGCGAAGACAGTTGTTAATAAAGGTCTGCAGCCTTTTGGAAATATTCTTTGTGACCCGCCAAGTTTCTGATCCGTATAGAAGAACTGACTTTACGTTTGTATTGAAAATCCGAATTTTGTTGGTGATGCTGAGTGACGAAGATTTCCAGATTGATTTCAGGCTGATGAATGTGTTTCTCGCCTTCCCGATTCTCGCTGGATTTGACATCCTCGTCCGCTCCTCCTGTAGTTGAGACAATGCTCCCTAGATAAGTGAATGAAGTAACCTCTTTCAAATCCCTCCCGTTGATGGTGATTGACGTTGGATGTTGTTGATGTTGTTGTTGGTTGGTTATTTTCATAACCTCCGTCTTGTCTATGTTTACCTGGAGTCCTGTCTTCTCCGGCTGCTTCTTCGACCAGTTTGTCGGTTTTCGCTTGTAAGTCTTCGATTTTGTGTGACATCAAACATAAATCATCCACGCGCGAAATCCAGGTCTTCTAGGTTCTTCACGTCGGTCCAGGATATTCCTGTCTTCTCGTTTCCCACAGTCTGACGCATAATCCAGTCCACCACAATTAGGAATATCATTGGTGATAATAAGCACCCTTGTCTGACTCCTGTGTTTACTCCAAACGCCTCGCTGAGTCTTCCGTTGTGGATCACTTGGCATGTGCCGTTGTCGTACAGCTGTTGAATAAGGTTGATGAATATTTGGGGTACGCCATAGTACTCGAGTAATTTCCAAATTACTTCACGGTCAACGCTGTCGAAGGCCTTCTCAAAGTCTATAAAGTTGAGGTAGAGGTTTGATTGCCATTCCATGCTTTGTTCTGTGATGATGATGCGTAGAGTTGCAATTTGGTCAGTACATGATTTGCCTTTCCTGAATCCAGCTTGTTCTGGTCGGAGTTCTGTCTCCAGTGCGTCCTTTAATCTCTCCAGGATGATGCGACTCAGGATTTTACTTGGCGTCGACAGGAGCATGATTCCTCGCCAGTTCTTGCAGAGTGAGCCTAAGTCGCCCTTCTTTGGTAGTTTCACGAGGTAACCTTTCCTCCAGTCAGTAGGCACCTTTCCCTCCTTCCAGACCTTTTGCAATAATGGAGTCAGCATGTCTGCTGTAGTCTCTGGGTCTGCTTTCAGTGCTTCAGGGGGTATTCCATCTGGTCCGGCTGTTTTCCCAGCTTTCAGAAGTTTGATTGCATTCAAGACTTCAGCTCTCGTTGGAGGATTGGTGTCAACTTGCAGTTGTGTGCGCGCTGTTGTTGGTATTTCTGGACGGGTTGCAGGTGATGGTCGGTTCAAGAGTCCTTTGAAGTGATCCGCCCATTGTTTAATCTGTTTTTCTTCCTTGGTAATGGGCTTCCCTTGGCTGTCTTTTATAGGTTTCGCTTGTGTTGGTCTCTTCCCGGATAGAGATTTGGTTATCTGATATAGTGTCCTCAGGTCCCTTTTGCCTGCTGCCTTCTCAGCTTCAGTAGCTAGATTGTCGTAGAATCGTCTTTTGTCCTTCCTAGCACTTTTCTTCACTTCTTTGTCCAATGCTTTGTAAGTTGAGCTCATCGTCTCCTTCTCCTGTCCGTCCTTGCATTGAATCATTTTCTCTTTCACCATTCTCCTCTCTTCTATTAATTTCCAAGTGTCCGTTGAGAGCCATTCCTTGTCTTGTCTCTTCTTTCTTCCTAGAACCGTTGAACACGTTTCGTTGAGAATCGCCTTCAGAGACTTCCAATGTTCTTCCACGCATGATTCTTCAGTGCTGTCGCGTAGTGTTTCCTGCTTTGCTCTGACAGTTGCAGTGAAGGTGTCTTTTGTGGTTGTGTCCTTCAGTAATTGAGTGTTGAACTTGCATTGTGGCCTATCCCCAGCTATCCTCGAGGCTTTTAGTTTCACCTTGAAAGTCCCTTGTACTAGATAGTGGTCTGAACCCACATCTGCTCCTCTCCTTGACCTTGTGTCCAGTAGGCTCCGTCTCCACTTTCTTGAAATTGAGATGAAGTCTATTTGATTCTTGGTGTTTCCATCTGGTGAAATCCATGTCGTCTTGTGTATATCCTTGTGTTTGAACACACTACCACCAATCACCAAATCATTGAAGGCGCAGAAGTCTGAGAAGAGTTCACCATTGTCGTTCATTTCGCCGAGGGCCTCAC